TTACCTCAACTCTTGGTCAAAACTAACTTCAAATCCGATAGTCTTATCCTGGATTCAAGGTTACCGGATTCCCTTTAAATGCACACCTCCATTACGTCAACCTTTGGGCACAAATAATTTTTCTTCGACAGAAACATCGCTAGTTCGAGTAGCTATACGCGACTTGCAGAAGTCCGGGGCCATAATCAAATCTGAGTCAAGGCCCGATCAATTTATCTCTCCATATTTTCTTGCAGATAAATCCAACGGGGGAAAAAAGATTTATATTAAACCTGAAACAGTTAAATGAATATGTGGAATGCCCGCATTTCAAAATGGAGGACCTTCGTACGGCTATAAAATTGACTCATAAAAACGTGTACATGTGCACAATCGACTTGAGAGATGCGTATTTTTTAGTACCTGTCCACAGCGACCATCAACAATTTCTAAAATTCTACTTTGATGGCCAATTGTATCAATTCACTTGCCTACCGTTTGGGTTATGTACAGCTCCGTTATGTTTCACAAAGCTTATGAAGCCAGTCGTCTCTTTTCTCCGCAATTTAGGCATCTCTACAGTCAATTATTTAGACGATTTTCTAATCTTTGGAGTTTCCTATGAATCCTGCCTTAATAATGTTAGCACAACCATTCGGTTTTTAAGCTCATTGGGTCTTATCATCAATAACAGCAAAAGCATTCTGGTACCCACTACTCGTATAAGATTCCTCGGCTTTCTGATAGATAGTGTTAATTTAACAATTGAACTTCCTGCCGAAAAGAAAAATCACATCCTCAGGTTAGCCTCATATTATTTGAACCAATCGAGATGTAGAATTCGCGACTGGGCAAGGTTCATTGGCACCTTGGTGTCGGCTTGTCCTGGTGTGAAATACGGGTTTCTTTATTGCAAATCTCTAGAAAGGGAAAAATTCTTAGCTTTAGAGAAAAACAATGGAAATTATAACGCAAGTATGGCTATTCCTGAAAACATAAAGAGCGATATTTCATGGTGGAAAGATCACATTTCAACAGCTTTCAATGACATAAGGTATGATTCCTTTCATATCACCATCTTTACCGACGCATCGCTAACAGGATGGGGGGCTTGCTCTGGCCAGGATAGAACCCACGGTTTCTGGTCCGACTCCCAAAAACTATTGCATATAAATAATTTGGAATTATGGGCTATATTTTACGGCATCCAGTGTTATGCAAAACTTTTAAAAAAATTGCAATATCCTAATTCGATGCGACAATACAACAGCCGTTTCTTACATTAACAGAATGGGGAGTGTTCGGTTTCCAGAGCTATGTTCTCTGGCTAAACAAATTTGGCAATGGTGTGAGGAAAGAAATCTCTGGCTTTTTGCATCATACATCCCATCTAAAGATAACGCTATAGCAGACGATGAGTCCAGGAGCTTGAATTTTGAAACGGAATGGTCATTATCTCAAACTGCCTTCGACCATTTAACCGACATCTTCGGAAAACCAGAGATCGATCTTTTTGCCTCTCATACCAATGCGAAATGCGAGGTATACGCTTCCTGGCATAGAGATCCAGGATCTACATATATCGATGCGTTTACAATTCGCTGGAACAGTTTTTATTTTTATGCATTCCCCCCTTTTACCTTAATTCTCCGAGTTTTACAAAAAATAATTCAGGATAAGGCTGTCGGAATTTTGGTGGTTCCTTGGTGGCCTTCACAACCTTGGTACCCACTTTTCCGTCAGTTATTGATCGACCAAGAAATTCATTTTCCCCCTTCACCTGATTTACTATCTTGTGCGGTTTCCAGGTCACATCCGCTGTCGAAAACCCTTACCCTGGTAGCAGCGAAGTTATCAGGCAAGCGTTTTTGAGTAGAGAGGTGCCGGAATCTGCTATTTCTACAATCATCGCCTCAGTCTCCAGATCCACATTGCAGCAATATAACAGCTCCTACAAATTGTGGTGGGAATTTTGCTTTAGTAATGACATTTCGATCTTTAAACCCACAATCAAAGACGTGGTGTCATTCTTGCAAGAGTTGACAAAGAAGAAAAACCTCACGTCTGGCACTTTTAATTCTCATACATCTGCTCTTTCACTAATTTGCTCAACTGATTTAGCATCCAATCCTATAATTAGACGCTTCAAAAAAGGCATTCATCGTTTACGGCCTTCTCGGCCAAAATATTCGGCCACCTGGGATCCTATACCTCTCCTAAGTTATCTAGAAAAGTTACCATCTCCACTTAGCCTCCAAAGTCTGTCACAAAAATTGACAACGTTATTAGCTCTAATAACAGGAGAAAGACTCCAGACAATTTCTCTTATTCGTCTTTCACATACCTCCCATGGTCCCAGCGAAACTACCATTAATATTTCAGACCCAATTAAAACCAGTCGAATTGGGAAACCTCAACCAACCTTGCATATACCGGTTTTTCAACAAAACCCTTTCCTGTGCGTAGCCACCATCCTGAAGGAATATATTGACAGAACAGCTAGCTTGAGAGAACCCGACAACGATTTTCTATTCGTGACATATAAAAAACCACATACCAGGGCGTCCAAAGACACTTTAAGCAGATGGGTAAAACAGACTCTTGCATCGGCGGGTGTCAACACAACACTTTTTACGCCCCATTCAGTCAGGCATGCGGCTACCTCAACGGCGTTAAGAAAAGGCGTTTCCGTAGATAGTATATGTAAAACAGTTGGTTGGACGCAACATTCCACATTTGCAAAGTTTTATAATCGTCCTTTACAAACCAACAATGAGTTTGCAAATGCCATTTTGGACATAAATGCCTGATTAGTTAGAACAGTTTAAGAGTTTGTGACGTACTTTAGGTACTCTAGTTGTTTTTTGAAAAAATATTACTATTAGGGTAAATGTTAAAAATTGACCCCTTGTTTTTTGCTTTTGTTTATGAGAATGCAGAATATATGTTTTTGCCTTTTTGTGTTTGTATACTTGTATTTTTTATATCATCAACTCGCTCGCAACTCTATCTCATCTTTAAACATCTACATAGTGAATAAACAAAGTGATGTCTTCGGACTGGACCCAAAGTATAATTGATCGATCAAACGAACTTACCTGAAGTGAAGTTCGATCGTAATTATACGAGGGTCCAGTCCGAAGACATCACCCCCACCCTATATGCAACCCTCCCAAGTTGCGAGCAAGTACCATTTCTTTAAACAAATGATTCAACGCGAGTGGCCAGGGCGCGGCGAGGAGGTGGGGATTCTCGTCTTTCAACTTGGTGCGCGGATCGTACTCCAGGGGCGGACTACATAGTGAATAAACAAAGTGATGTCTTCGGACTGGACCCTCGTATAATTACGATCGAACTTCACTTCAGGTAAGTTCGTTTGATCGATCAATTATTGTGTATATTATTGTTGTGAATCAGAAGTGGGTGTAGAAGTACAAGCATCATTTGTAGATTTAATGATGGAAGTATTTTGCAAATAATTCGTTAGTGACAGCTCCTCACCCTTTAAGCTTCTTTGTCAACACTATATAGTATTAGGCTCATGATTAATGTTGAAAAAATTAATGTAGTCGAATCATTTAAATATCTGGGTAAAAAAAAAACATTTATTACCACCAATTCTGAAAAATTTACAAAATTAAATAGTCATTATCATAACTACGAAACTAGAGGCAGTATAGATTTTCATCTGCAAAGTTGTAACAGTAGCATAACTAGTAAATCTATATTTCAAGAGGGATATTTGAATTTAATAAATTGAATAGTGATATTAAACAGTGTTCGAATTTAAAAATATTTAAGGTAAAATTTAAAAAAATCACTTTATGAATACTCAAAATGCACATTGATGTAATCATAATAGACAAGAATGTAAAATTACAGAAAATGGATTGAAAAAAATATGTAAGCGAATAATTATACAAGGTTGACATTGTAGCATTAATGCTAAATAAATCGTCAACAAACAAACAATACACTTTTTTAACTGCATCCATTGGAATGAATACCGTGATGTTTTTGCGATCACCCGCTATGGTTAATAAATATGTTTAAGTAAAAACAAGAGGTAAATCAACTGACATTATTAAAACCAAGGTTAGGAGGTCTGTGTTACGAATACTCTATATTACATATACTAACACTATTCCAAAAATGCAACTAAGACCATGAGGAACAACGAAACCAACCAAATGTATGATTCTTTCCACAGCAAAATTCAAACCTTCCATCACCATGAATCGAAGAAAAATGTTATGTCAGTGATATGATTGATGCAGAGATCTTTCGGTCTTACTAAAAACACAACTTGTAGAATACTATACAGCAACACCTCTGAATTTTTGAGCCAGCTGCTATGATCTTGAGAGCTTGACGTATGCTGCAAGTCAGTCTCATGCTCACTCGTGTTGCGCGGCCGACGTTGTGTAGCCAAACAGTCCGTGTTCCTCGCCGACTGAAGCCAAAGTGCGTCGCAGCGATGAATATACTGCATAATATGAGTGATTTCAATTATGCGATGAGGCTCTATTTGAAGAACCTCTAATGAGCTGTATTGAAGCAAGACGCACTTGCCAGTCAGTATTTTTGCTATTCAAGTTAATCAGTAATGTTCCTGATAAATCTATTATCTTCGGGCAGCAGTCATTCAGTTACCAACATCTCGTTAGAACCTTACGTCCTATCAACCCGCGGCACACAAGTTATCTAAATTTATGCTAGATTTGTAGCAATAACAATAACATAAGTAGCCATCTTGAGATATTTTACTGTAGCATCTTGGACAAAAAACGGGTCATTAAGTAATCAATATGTAGCTTTTCAATTTCTAAATGTATCAATTACTATCTTTGTGCATTTATTATATGTATGTTCTGTTTTGCCTAAAACCAGTAACTGGTGTTTACTGTCGAATGTTGCAATACAATAAAAAATAAAAATGAAATGAAAGCAGTATTTTCAGAAGTTGCGTTGCTGAGTAGTATGCCGAAGGCTCTGCTAATACAACATGATTACATAATTTGATGCAAGTACTTCAACAGGTAGACACTCTTTTTGTGGCGAATAGGAGTAAAACTTTATCAAAGATAAAAATAGTAACCTCCATCTCCTCTTCTGGGATCTATGATCAACTGGATCCTGTTCTCTGTAATTCCAGCACTGCTCTCAGCCCTGCAGACGTAGACACCTTGGTCATCTCTGCTCAAGCGGTTGAACTCTTGGTAAGCCACATTGGGGATACTGACGAGGTTGTCTCTACGTCTGAAATTAAAAATGGCATCAGGTTCCATGATTAAGATACACATTTGTTCTGCAAATGATCTTTAGAGTACTTATTACAAGACTGTCATTAAGAGCGCAGGTCGTGAGGTTAAAGTATACTAAGTGTCAAAAAAGGTAAACACCTAAGTATGTTTATTAGATTTCAAGAATTTTTTACATATCGATTTATGTTGCCATGATCAACACGTGATAAAATGGTCAGGTTTTTGTGGTGGCTGCGTGTATTGTTTGGGGATAAAGAAGCATTCCGTTTTCGGATATTTATGGTGTCAGTTAAATGTTAAATTTCGTGTGGCATATTGAGAAGCCTTTTTGTGATTGCTGAAAATGCCTAAAGTGCGTAGAGTTCGCCGGGTGTTCCAGCTAAGTGTTTTTGAGAGGGGTCGAATTGTCGGGTTGTGAAGCCGTTCTATCGATAAAGGGAGTTTTTAGGAGGACCAACAGATTCTCACGCAGTATACTGCAGTGTGAACGAGCGTGGACTCGGGAAGGCCGAAGACAGCCAGCGAGGGGTTCTGGACGTTCCAGAAGGACCACAGAGCGACAAGATCGTCGGTTAATACTTCTGGGCGCTCTGTACAATCGTGGTGCAGGGAAGTCGATCTTTCTGTTAATGCTGAAAAGACCGAGCTGATCCTATTCACTAGGAGAAGATAGACAGATAGATACATTTATTGTCTTGTAGATCATAGAAAATTACATAAGACTCGTCCTAAGAGGGAGGTACATAGTACACAATTAAAAATAAAAACGAAACAAACATAAGTATTTACAAAGTACAGACAGGGACAACTTAAGGCGTACAGACATTCACATATAAAAAAAGTTTAAAAAAATATATCACAGTGCGAGGTATTCAGACAAAGAGTAGAAACATTTTTCAACTAATAATTTTCGTAGTTTACATTTAAAACTAGCAATACTACTGACATTCCTGAGGTTAGCTGAAAGTTTGTTATATATTCTGATGCAGGTGTATTCCGGTGACTTTTCGAACTGCATCAGTGTGTGTTTTGAAATACTCAGACTCTCACTTGCCCTTGTATTATAATGTGTGTTGATGTTTTTGTTCTGTATAAATTTTATTTTGTTTGTATGTGTGAAAAGGGCGCACTTATAAATATGAATGCTTGGTAGAGTCATGATGTTTTTACTTCTGAAGGTCTCTCTGCAGGATTCTCTTCTACAAATGTTGAATAACGATCTGATTATTCTCTTCTGTTGAAAAAATGCTCTAGAAATTGAAGTTGCTTGTCCCCAAATTATGATGTTTCTTGATAAATGTGAGTGGACGAGAGCATAATATACATCTAGTAAAGCTGACTCTGATAAGCAAAACTTGAGCTTAAGAATCGCATAATATGATTGGTTCAATGTCTCATGATTTGCTAGAATAGGGGCGTTTGTATAAAAATGTACAACATCTGACTTTTTGAGGTTTAAAATCAAACGATTTGCTTGGCACCATCCCTTCATTTCACCTTTTACTTCATTTATTTTTGCAATAATATCATTGCCTGTAGTTCCACTTACAAGAACTGACGTATCATCTGCATAATGTTACAAATATAGAGAGATGCAAATCACTTATATATAGAATGAATACAAGGGGTGCTAAAACTGAGCCTTGCGCTGCTCCAATGTCGATACTGTACGTTGCGGATGTGATTCCGTTAACTTTTGTTTTGAATTTCCCGTCAGACAGGAAAGACACTATCCAATCTAATAAACCTAAATAAAATAATTTTTCCTCGGGAAGTCCAACGTCAATTGTATCGAAAGCTTTCGATAGGTCAAAAAAGATGCCCGCGATACATTTATTCATATCGAGCTGTTTATATATCTGACATACAAACTCATAAGTAGCTGTCTCTATTGAATGAAGTTTCCTAAATCCATGCTGCGAGCTTGGGATAAGGTTGAATTTTTCAGCATATCCCAAAATTCTTGAATAAATCGCTGTTTCGATTATTTTAGAAAAGATTGACAACAATGATATGGGGGATAATTTTCAACTTGAGTAGGATCTCCCTTTTTTGGAACGGGAACTATTATCGCAAGCTTCAGGGATTTAGGAAATTTGCCTTGATAGACAGACATGTTAATTAAAGTAGTCAGAGGACCTGCAATTTCATTTAAAACACTTTTAATAACACGAGTAGTAGAAGAAGGCTTGACGGGCTAGTCATGTCGACCTTCTTTGGGACTAGATTAATTCTATCCCAATCAGTGAAATATCTGGGAATTATCCTGGATTGCAAACTGAACTGGAGAGTGCATGTTGAATACAAGGTTAGCAAGTCTCGCAATTCAATGTGGGCCTGTAGACGTTTTGTCGGTGTACGGTGGGGGCTTAAACCCAAAGTGGTATACTCGCTCTAAACGACGATAGTTACGTCCATCTCTCTTGTACGGCTCCCTGGTCTGGTGGCCTTGCATTAGAACTGAGACAACTAAGGCCAAACTCAATAAAATTCGGCGTTTGGCTTGTATTAGCATTACAAGCGCAGAGCGAACAACGCCATTGAGTGGAATGGAAGCTCTGCTGGATCTCCCAGCGTTGGAAGTAAAGCGTGAAGTAAAGTTAAATATGACAGACAAAAGGTCATGAAACATTTTGGGACTTCCCTTCAGTTTTCGGTGAGCCTCGAGGACATGCTATTGGAAACTTCAGAAACAGGTTTATTACGTCATTGAAACATATCTTACCCAGGTAGGACTCCTCCATACTTGCTCCACTGAACAGTAGGTTGTGGTGTTCCCGTAGCCTGACAGATCAGCCTGAGATATTCTCCTTCTGGCCTAGAAATTGTGTCTTGAGTCGGTGTGATCTGCACTTCAGGAGCCGTGTGGACAATCAAGTGTGCAGATGCTGTCACTGTGCCAGCTTCATTTGTTGCTGTGCAGATGTATTCACCTTGGTCGTTCACGCTCATGTCCATAAATCTGTAAATGAAGGTAACAAACGGTATTAGTTCAGGAAAAATTGGGACCGATATGCATGGTGTTATCTTAAAGGTTATACAGCCACATGGTAACAGTGAACATCATCCAGGAATTTCCTTCTAGGCAGAGACATGCTTTTGCTGTAATCTTTTATTTATTTATTTTTTTCTTTGTATTGACCTGCCATATATACTTATGTTGTATTAATATGGCCAATAAATACTACTACTTCTACTACTTGTCTATGGAATCAGTACCATTACCATATGGTTCCAAGTTCGCTCCTGAGACATTCTGTCAGTCGTTAGTTGACCTCATTGATATATAAGGTTGAGAATGGTGAGATTCGTTGTCGTGGTATGATTATTATTATTATATTATCAAGTATGTGAGGGTATGTATTGATATACTAAGTGACATATAAATCCGAACACCCAGTTTAAATGGTTTTATTTTAATAAAAGTTGGTGAATATATTTATCTTACTGTAAATAACAAGTGCAAAAATTTTCAGCCTTATCAGTTGGACATTCCGGTTTTTATACTGCTTCTTTTTAATTCACTAACGCTCTAAAAATGAATATTTCAGCCGCAGTAAAGAATCAACGTTGGCGGATTTTGGTTCTTGACATCGTTTACGATCGGTTACGATGCCTAGAGTACGGAGACCTGTACGATTTCGTCAACTTAGTGAGTTTGATAGGGGCCGTATAGTGGGACTTCGGGAAGCTGGACTTTCTTTTCGGGCAATTGCAGTTAGAGTGCAAAGAAGTGTAGACACTGTGGTTAGGTGTTGTCAGGCATGGCTTTGAGAAGGCCGTACGCAAAGAGCAAGGGGCACTGGACGCCGCCGTAGAACAACAGACCGTGAAGATCGCCGCCTAAGATTATTGGCCTTAAGGGACCGTTTCTCCACTACCAGGTCCATTGCAAATGAATGGTTTGCAGAACACGGAAGACCTATTGGCATGCGAAGTGTTTACCGACGAATGAGAAGTTTTGGCTTGTTTTCATACCGGCCACACTGGGTCCTCCCTTTAACTCGAGAACACCGACGTAATCGCCTTGAGTGGTGCAGACAACGGTCACTCTGGGATCAGGAATGGAACAGTATTGTCTTTAGTGAGTCTCAATTTTGTTTAGGCATGCACGATGGTCGTGCGAGGGTTAGAAGGCGACGTGGTGAAAGGAGGAATCCACAGTTTTTTGTTGAAAGACATGTTCATCACACTGTTGGAGTTATGGTTTGGGGTGCTATAGCTTATGGTTCCAGAGGTAACATGAACGCGCAGCGTTATATCTACGAAGTTCTAAAACCCCATCTTTTACCCTATCTTGACACCCTGGCAGATCCAACTTTCGAACAAGATAATGCCCGACCACATGTTGCAAGAGTCACAATAGACTTCTTTCAACATAATGATGTCACATCGTTACCATGGCCACCAAGATCTCCCGACTTATCCCCAATTGAGCACGTGTGGGATATGATGGGTAGGAGATTGCTCAATTTGCAACGTCCTCCTCAGACTCTAGAAGCACTTCGAGAGGAGTTGGTGGTTGCCTGGAATGAGATACCACAGGAGGACATTGACCACCTGATCAGAAGCATGCCTAGGCGCGTTGGAGAATGCGTAGCACATCAGGGTGCATCCACACATTATTGAAGGTCAAAGGGCTTTAAAGCAGTGCAATCATTTTGAAATTTTCATCATTTACTTATTATGCTTCATTAAGTACTTATACAAAATTTTATTAAAATAAAACCATTTAAACTGGTTCGGATTTATATGTCACTTAGTATAGATGCATAAAAATCTGATGAAACAAATAAGCCATTTGTATTCCTTACTCGGCTAATTCTATCTGAAGAGACGTCGCATTTCAGCAGGGGCCGCAAACCTAGCAACTGTTCTTTATGGAGAACACCTTTATGGTTGGAAATTGAGAAAGAAATTTTGGATGTTAATGCTCAAAAGAGGCGACGGGTGGT